GAATACAACCTTATATGAGACATTCTGCCGAAGTGCTATGTACAATACACTACATGTTTCACGCAGGTGCAGTACATGTACATGCCAACGTGCAGGGCCAAAGCCAGTAAACTGTTAACAGAACGGCCTATTCTAACCTATTAGCATCACGTTATGCATTCAAACCATTTAGCAGAAAAACACCTTTCGGCATTATGCCAGTAAAGACATGTTATGGACAGTCAGTATGTACTCGTAGTCATGTAACAACTACACACACATTCTTGCACAGAAAAGCTCTTGCAAAAAAGCAATCATACATTATGAAAGCACCCTGAAATATACCACCATAACATGAATTATTGTCATAAATGTGATTTTGATTACACATGTACATAACATAAATTTGACATCCTTGCAATTGGTCATCAAGTGTCTAAATTCTGCTACATGCTGTCTGCATACACAAGATTAGGCCACACCAATTTAATTTGTTGGTTCTCAGAAAAAATATGAAGCGACAGGGCGAAGAAAAAAAAAACAGGTTTAGGCATCCTAATATAGCCCCAAATGCTACATTATTGTTGTTTATTATTGTTTATTGAAAACCAAAACCCATCGCAGCCTCACGGCTGAATTGTGAGGAACAAATTGTACACAAGTCGCACGCACGTTACACTTCCTAGTATCTTATTACATTTCGAAAAAATACGTTAAATTGAAATTACTTCTTACAACATTTTAAGACCAAATACTAAAATTCACCGTATAATGTACATTTAAAAACATTGCTACGATAGCAACCATGAAGTCAACACAAAAGGCTGGGTTAATATAATTTTAAACAATGAATTTTGAACTTTTAATCAAACCACTGCATTGATAGATGGAAAAACTGTAACAACTAGAAAGAAGAGGACTTTCCTCAACTGTTGGGGGCAAAATAGCATATTTCAGTTCATTCCAAACCAGAATTTTTTTTTTTTTTCAAATGAGAAAAAAATGGAGAGGCAATTCCGAGAACCAACAAATTAAATTGGTGTGGCCTTAAAAATACATGCACACAAGTAGCAAAGTTCTATAATTCATCATAATTAATTCTCACCTTCTTTCTTTACACTGGAAGTACAATTCTAATATCCTCAAAATTTATTGCAATAATCATGATTCATTATCAAGGACAAAAGATCCCTGCTGGCTTATTTGATTAGAAGTACCGGTAGTATTTTTTTTGTAATTAGGGAGGTGTGCTATAAAATTGCATTACTCATTTAGTGTTAGGCCCTAAGGAAAAAATAGTGTGTTTCCCGTTTCAGTCATGAAAAAATTAGGGACGGTACTGTCACGGTAGGTAGGGATTTAATAACCTTTTATTTTCTTTCTTTTTTTTTAGACTGGTGATCTCTAAGTAATCCAAAACTTTGGCGATCTCTACTCTAGTGGTCCAACTTACACAATACAATTTAACAAAGTAGAATTTGCAAGGGGTCACTTTCATTTTCAATATTGGATAACCGATTGTATAATTTTTGATCACTCAGGTGTCAAATCAAGGAGCTAGAAAAGGTTGATCAGCTTGAAAAATTTATGTCCCTTGCAGGGGTCTGCACAAAAAAGGTCTAGGGTTGGCAGATTTTTGTAGGGTCGGTCAGAAAACGGAAAACACAACATTTTTTTTTTCTTGGCCTTATGTGTGAACTGAATCGTTTTTTTAATGTATTAATAATCAAAATTATTGCTCCAGGGCACAATAGAGAAAGTGTAATTTAGCGTAAATCACTTTATATTTTACAGTAGCAAAAGTTCACAGTGTGAGAAAAATGAACATGTTCAATCAAGGGAACTATTCACAGTGGTGGCAGGTGCAGAAGAAAAAAAATTATTTGTTGGCGGTAAGGCCACATCAATTTAATTTCTTGGTTAATGGATTCGCCCCCTTCATTTTTTTCTGATTTGTAAATTAAAATAAAAATTCAGAATCAACGGCAAAATGCTCATATTTTGCCCTGAACGTTCAAAACAGTCCTTTTCATCCTAGTTGTTACAGTTATTCCATCTTTCAATGCAATGGTAATACCATTGGTATCATTAAAAGTTCAAAATTCATTGTTTAAATTTTGAACCAGCCTGGTGTGTTGACTTCATGACTCCTATCGTACCATTTTGGGCCATAATAGGATGCCTTAAAAAGGCCTGTTTTATCTTTTTTATTTTTCGCCCACCCGCTCCATTATTTTTCTAGAAAAATCTGTTAACCAAGAAATTAAATTGGTGTGGCCTAATGATAAATTTGCGGTAGTAGGCCAGTGGTACAAAAGTGGCTGCGACAGCCATAAATATAAAAGTATTGCGAATACAAGTGATTTACAGTATATTTTTAAGTGGTTTTATTTCATATCTTGGCATATGGCTAACTGCATGTAGACAGGAACTATCAATCAGTAAAATGTAACAGTCTTCAGGGGATCCCCAAGGTCCCACCAGCCATGTTACTAATGAGCTGCATTTGCAAAATGACCAGTCAGCTCAGCTATGGTAATCTATTCTGGAAATAGCCTAGTTGCATCTTAGGCCATACCAATTCAAGTAATTGGTTCTCGGAATCACCCACTTCTTTTTCTTCCGATAGAAAAAAGCTTCACAGGCACGCGGCGAGGCGGCAGCTGGCTACATTACACCGATCGACTTTTTACACTTACCCCTTGAACTTCTAACTCTAGACATTGTTTAAAGCTATCTAATGACAATGCCCCTACTGTACTTGGTGACACTGACAGTGAGTTCCCCTCTGCGATAGTTCTAGGAAAGAATGAATTCTTGAACACCTCAATCCTTGGTTGATAACTCTGGTACTTGAAGGCATGGCTATTTCAAAACTATAGCATAGGGGGTCAAAACTATAGCATAGGGGGTCAAAATCATAGTATAGGGGGGCCCCTATGCTAAAGAGGCCTGGCTAGAACACTGTGTACAATTGCAAGCACCTGTTACATACAATATGACCTTGGGGAAGGTAACATCTGGTCACATAATCATGATTGACACTCGGTTTATTTGCCTATGTCTGACACCTAGCTAGTTCCTGTAACATCTTGTGGTGAAATGGTCAACCATACTGGAAGGATTTCCAATTTTGTTGACATGAAAGTCCAGGGCTCGAAACTCATTTTTGGGAATAGGTGCACTGGTGCACCCAACCTAAAAAAATTGGGTGCACAAAAAAATGTTTTGGGTGCACCATATGAGATCAAATAAGTAGAATGGCAGCAAAAATTAATCAATTAGTTTCATTTCTAAAGAAAAGTACATGTACATGTACTGGTATAATAATGATATTTTTCTATTTTTCTGACACTTTGATGTTTAGAATATGCTGTATACTACTACTAGTATACATACGTAAACGTACGAAAATATTTGGGTGCACTGGTACACCCACAGAAAAAAATTGGGTGCACAGCATCAAATTTGGGTGCACTAAGGTGCACATTCACCCAGTATTTACTGAAAATACGTTGTTCCTACAAAATGTATCTGAACTTATTGGCTTTCAAAGATTTTGCCCAAAGGTCCCCTGCAGTTCCAGAACCCACACCACTTATTCCTGACAGGAAAATCTATCTGTCACCAAAAATTCAAGACCTCAGCATGTTCAGGATAAAATACACAAAAACCGGAAGTTCTGCTGCAGTACCGAGGTCATCCACCAGGAAGCCCATATTTGACCTTGACCTTCGTCTTCCTTAGACTTTCCAGCATACCAAATATCATCACAATCCATAAAGGCGTTCTGAAGTTATGCTGACTACAAATGTGCGGAAACACACACACAGACAGACACACACACAGACACACACACGGACAGACGCGCCAAAAACAATACCTCCATTTTTCATGGAGGTAAATACCTTATCTTTTTTAGTACTGCACTACTCTGTAGACTGTACTGTAGTAATGGAAATGGCAGCACTCCTCTGATGTGTGTTATTTTGGGCAGGTCTCTTGAGACAAACCTGGTAAAACTCTGTCCTGAGTGGGCCAGTACAGGGTTTTACCTCATGTACACAGTCATGTAGCATGTACATGCAGATGTGGAACAGTAGTAGTAGTATTTCAGTGGTAGAAATACTTTTTACAGGGCTCGAAATTCATTTTTGGGAATAGGTGCACCCAACCTAAAAACAAATTGGGTACACAAAATTTTCTGTGGGTGCACCATATAAGATAAAATAAGTAAAGTGTCAGCGAAAACTAATTCTGTTTTGTTTCTATTATAAAGAAAAGTACTAAAACTTAAAAGAATGATTTTACTCTTTTTCTGACACTTGGATGTTAAGAATATACTGAATACTAGTAGTACTCTAAATTTAACATCTTGACATATAAGTAAACCTACAAAAATGCACCCACAGAAAAAAATTAGGTGCACAGCTCCAAATGTGGGTGCACTAAGGTGCACAGTATTTTGAGCCCTGTTCAGTGCTCTGCAATATTGCAGAATGTAAAAAATTTTGTTCTGCAATTCAGAAATACTTTCTGCACATACACACTAATCTTAAAACAAAAGTCCCGATCTAAACCCAAGGCATGTACAAAATTCATCTTACATGCAAGTTGAAAAATACATGCAAAATTACTTGTATATTGAGTCAGTAGTAAACACAAAAGCTCTTAAACACCATTGAACCCCTAGCCTGATTTCTTCAGTCTGCAAAATTGCAGGTTGCTTAATTTTTCTCCTGCAATATTGAAAATGTCTCCACAAAATGCAGACTGCAGGTGGGTATTTCTAACACTGCATTTGTAGAAGCACAAAAAAATTTCCCTGATTCCTATTTGTGTAAGACTGCACATTAAGAGTAGACTAGAATAGAATAGGGTAAAAACAAAACTGATAAAAAATCCTTTTTCTACTCCTCACTATCTGATACAAGGGATTGAAAGATAAAAACAAACATAAACATGTCAAAACACAAACATGTTTAAAACAAACAAAATATTGTCATAAAGAGAAAACTCACCACACTGGATATTCTGTCCACATTTTCCATGAAGTATTTCACTGAGTCACCCTGTAGAAAAAAACACAAAAAACTGTTAAAATACATGTTGTACACCAAAATACAGATAGGGCCTATGCACACATGTGTATCTTAACCACAAGACTTAGATATGTCCAATGGCCACTAAAAGTAAAAAGACACTTTGGGACATTTTTGGGACAATACTATATAGCAAAATAATCAGCATCAGAATGTCAGCCCTTCTTACTTTAATTGTTTATCAGGCACACATCCTGGCTTTTGGGTCCAGAAAGTCCACCTGAATTTCCTGTCTATAACTGTCTAAAATTGACTTCAAGTTGAAATCATATAATACTTTCCACAAAACAGGTTGGGACAGTTCATCCTCAGTTCGGGACAATTGAAATTTACTTTGTGACAGTGCTGGGACAATAGGAAGAAAAGGTAATTTCGAGGCCTGTGTAGGTAAACTAATCATCAACTTGCACTCTTTTTTTTAATCAAAAACAATAATTGTATGATTCACTTTTACACTGAAACTGGAAATTCATCACTTGTGTGACTCAGAGTTTAAGGGGGAAGTTGCAACAAACAACAAACCAAAAACTCCCCTGCAGTTCCTTAACAAGCTGCTGGGGGGACAAAACCGACAGCACTTATTCCTGACAGGAAAAGCTACCTGTCACCAAAAAGTCAAGACCTCAGCATGTTCAGGTCAAAAGATACAAAAACCGGAAGTTCTGCTGCAGTACCAAGGTCAGTCACAAGGAGGCCCATATTTGACCTTGACCTTTGTCTTCCAACGACCTACCAACATACCAAATATCATCACAATCCATAAAGGCGTTATGAAGTTATGCTGACAACAAATGTGCGGAAACACACACACACAGAGACACACACACAGACGGACACGCCAAAAACAATACCTCCATTTTTCACGGAGGTAATTAGCTGCTATCAAGAGTTATTTCCCACGTGTTATGTCATGCATTAGCAGTGTAATGGTAGTGTTTTTCAAGCACTCATATCCTGGCAACGGCTACAAATGTTGTCAGATGTAGTAACCGCGGCCCGGGACTGAACAAAGGAAGTAGCCCTCCAAGCAACAGCCTTGTGTGCAATCACCAGGTTCTGATGTGCTGTAATTTGACAGCAATAAAATGGGTCACTTGTTTCCAAGGACAGGAGTTGTGTAAATTTGAAAGCCATGTTGCACAGGTATAGCTAGCCTCTACCAGGCTTGAGGGCGCGGCTGGAAATAGTAGAAATTGACCAAATAGAGAGATAACACACCGAGGGAGTTTAGCCATCCAGTTTACAGTTTGCCGGCCCCTCAAACTGTAAACTGGATGGCTAAACTCCCACGGTGTGTTATATCTCTATTTGGTCAATTTCTACTATTTCCAGCCGCGCCCTCAAGCCTGGTAGAGGCTAAGGTATAGCCTCGAAATTCACTTTTAGGAATAGGTGCACTAGTGTACCCAACCTTAATAATTGGGTGCAAAAAAAATTCTTGGATGCACCATATTACGTATAAGATAAAATAAGAAATCTGAAGAATATCAGCAAAAGGTAATGTTTCATTTCTAAAGAATAGTTCAATGACAATGACTTTTTTTCTGACATTTAATGAATGGTAAGAATATGCTGTATACTACTAACTACACATTTACCATAATTCTTTACATACGTAAACCTATGAAAATATTTGGGTGCACTCGCAGAAAAAAAATTGGGTGCACAGCTCCAAATTTGGGTGCACTTAAAGGTGCAAATGCACCCAGTATTTCAAGCCCTGTACATACACACTGAGTGTAATTGTTTTAAATTTCACAATTCCAGAAATAACAACAATTGGAGAACAGAGCAGCAATGGCTATATTTTTGTACAGAACTCCAAAAAATTCAACGTCTGCATCATATTTAGAATAATTCTCGCCCTGCGAAATATTCCCTAACATTTTGTCATATATCATTCAATGCCTACCCTAAATATGTGATGCTTTGTATCAATGTTATGTATATGAACTTGTATTGTTGTAAGATTTCAATGATGGAGATTTCTATACATAAATAATTTCATCAGGTTGGTAAACGACTGAATATCAAAGTTCTTTTTATCACAACCATTTATTTTTCAAGCCGACGTTTCAATGACCGTCTGTCATCTTCATCAGAAAAAACTAGCTTAAGTGCACTATGAACTATGTAACACCGTTAGTGCACTATGCACCAAGTAACATCTAGTGTCAGTGCACAGCAAACCAGTCAGAATTGCCCTGATGAAGATGACAGACGGTCATCAAAATGTCGGCTTGAAAAAGAAATGGTTGTGATAAAAAGAACTTTGCTATTCAATGGAAAATTCTAGTCTATACATTTCCAAAGTCATCTGTGCACATATTTCCAGAAATAGATTGTTTCACTGAGTTCTAAAAGCTATAACAATTAGGTTTAGAAAGCCCTGTGTCATCCATTCTACACCTTCAAGCTACATGTAATGGCTTTATTATCCCAAATGTATGATTGACATTACTATTAAGGTACATTGTATATGTAGCATGGGTACAGATGTGCATTGAATGGAGGAAAAGTCAAATCAGGACACAGATTTTTATATTTGGGTGAACTGAAGAGGGTGCAGTCAATTTCATATGTTGGGTGATATAATAAATGTATAACTATGACTGAGATGGGGTTTTGTGCGCGTGAAAAATTTGCGTGTGAAAAACTTGCGCGTGAAGAATCTGCGCGTGAAGATATGCAAATTAGCTGACTCCAAAGGGATTTGAAAACTTTTTGCTGTTTTAAGCTTAAAAGTTGGAAAAAAGACAAGAAAATAAAAATCTAACATCATTTTGCTTGCATTCTAGACTACATACCCTTGTTTTGTCCATTATTTTGTGATTTCAGGTTATTTTGAAAGGTAAAGTTTTCACACGCAAAAAAGGTTGAAATTTGCGTGTGAAAGAATTTGTTTAAGAAAGCATGAAATCAAACTTCTAGAATGGAGAAAAGCTTCAGATTGTTACATTTTACCATCCTACACCTCATACTAGTAACTTTTCCATGTATTTCTTACAAATTCAAGTGATTTTCAAAAGGTCAGGTTTTATGGAAATTATGCAAATTAGCTTATTCCCAAGGGACCAACATTTTCAAACAAAAATTTTGGCTAACAGAGGGAAAATTATACCAGAGGACATTTTCCTGCCTAAGAATTTGGTACTGCATATTTTCTAACATATTTCTAAGACTTTTATTTTTCACGCGCAAATTTTTCACGCGCAAGTTTTTCACGCGCAAATTCTTCACGCGCAGAAAACCCGTTCCCCTATGACTTATGCATTGATTTTTTTATTATATCACCCAACATATGAAACTGACTGCAATCTCTTCAGTTCACCCAAATATAAAAATCTGTGTCCTGATTTGACTTTTTCTCCATTCAGTGATCATCTCTACTCATGCTAGATATACAATGTAGTTTAATAGCAATGTCAATCATAAATTTTGGATGATAAAACTTATAAAAGATGATAAAACCATAGCTTGAAGTTCTGTTAAATGGATGCATAGGCTTTCTAAATATGACATGTACATGTATGAGACACAGGATGCAGGGCTTGAAATTCATTTTTGGGAATAGGTGACATAGATTTACGTATGTAAAGATCTATTTTAAATATATAGTAGTACATGTAATAGTAGTATACAGCATATTGTTAATATATAATATCTAAGTGTCAAAAACAAATAAAAATTATTGTTATAGCACTTTTTTTTAGAAATGAAACATAATTAGTTTTTGCTGACATTCTACTTATTATAATATCTTATATGGTGCGCCCAAAAACATTTTTGTGCACCCAATTTTCTAGGTTGAGTGCACCAGTGCACCTATTCCCAAACATGAATTTCGAGCCCTGTTATATCAGTGATATATCAATAAAATGTCTGCCCTTCCCACATTTTTATGTACCAGCCTGTGGTCCATACACACAGGGCACTTTAAAACTTCCTGGAACAAATCCACCTTGCTTCCACTTTCCAGGAAGGACCCTGTTTACCATCCACTAGCTTAAAGGTTATGGCGGCACAACACAGTATTAGCCCTATGGGGATTTCTATAGTTAAGGACCCCAAAGTGACTCACTTCGACTCACTGAAAATCATAGTAGGGTGCACAAGCAAGGTTCAGATTTTTGATATGTTTAATTTCAGGGTATAGCGTACAAAATATGTGAAAATGGGCTTAGATTTGCCGGCTAGTTCTTTTCTCATGCCCTCTTTTATTAGCGCCACTGCGGAGGTCATGGAACTGCAGCCGAGGCACAGTACTAGGCGGGACAAGTATCCAAGCGCAAATCTACGCCGACTGAACACGCACCATAATTCAACTTTTACCGTCTCAAAACTGACGTATTCCTCTAACATTTACCACAGGTTCTATCTCGATGCCATGCACAAAACAATCTCTGCACCCTTCTCTAGTGCAGCACTACTTTGTGCCCGGACTACTTTTGACTACGGGGTTCGCCCATAAATACTGTGTTGTGCGGCCTTATGGTCTGACTTCACTGGGAGGAAGCATAATGTAGTAGCTTTGTGGTGGGAGACTATAGTATAAATTCACTTCAATTCGTGGTCCTTAAATTTTGTGGCAAGGTAAAAGTCAAACGTTAAACAAAATCTCCAAGCAGTATCCATTTGCTAGACAGTTAAGGTTTGTGGTGAAAAAAGATGCCAGGACGAGAAAAAAAACTGACAAAAATGCCTAAAATTTAGTAAAAACAAGTCAAAAATAATAGCCTAAAAGTTAATGGCACCTTTGAGTTTATGGTTGAAATAACAATTTACACAATAGATGAGTCAGGATGCAAGAACAAAGGTTTGCCGTGTGACGATTTTGTGGTTAGAGGTCACAGTAAAAACCACATTGACCACAAATAATATTTCAAAATTTACAGTAATATTGGTACCATGATAATTCAAGGATTCTTCATGATAATTCAAGGATTCTTTATCTTCATCTTTTTCATTGG